CACCACCCCGCCTATCAACTAATTCTCTAGGCCGAGCGATGAAGGGACTAGATAGACTGGAACTCCTCGAATGTATGTACGGACCAAAAAGAAATATGTAATATTCTCCAATGAATAAACAAAGCAGTATGACATTCTTACACAACTCCACCAAATTTGCACATCACACCAGCGCAAAGGAAATGTACATTCGACCTCGTTCGAATCGATCTGCATTCGACTTTTCTCGAATTAACTTACATTCGACCTCGCTCGAATTAACTTACATTCGACCTGGCTCGAATTAACCTACATTCGACCTCATTTGAATCGATATACATTCGACTTCGCTCGAATTAACTTACATTCCACCTCGTTCGAATCGTTCTACATTCGACCTCGCTCGAATTAACTTACATTCGACCTCGTTCGAATCGATATACATTCGACTTCGCTCGAATTACCCTACATTCGACCTTCTTCGAATCGATATACATTTGACCTGGCTCGAATAAACTTACATTCGACCTTGTTTGAATCATTCTACATTCGACCTCACTTGAATTAACTTGCATTCGACCTCGTTCGAATCATTCTACATTCGACTTCGCTCGAGTTAACTTACATTCGACCTCATTCGAATCAAAGACTTCACGCCACATCATCCCCCCATCAGCAATGTCACCAACATACTCATCATCGTACCAAAGGTCGGAGGAAAGCCCATCTAAGGCGTCTTCATCATCGTCTCTTCTGGGCGTACCGGGATCATAACCACAGGCGTCACGAGCTGCACGTGCCTTGACACGAACTTCTTCAAATTCCGCCTCGAAAATCTTCCCAGACGTCTTCAGAGAGCTATATATGTCAAGTTGGGCCTCAGCATGAACCCACATTTCATACAACTCCCGTGACACACCGGGAGCGGAAGAAGTATGAGAAGTAGACGGTTGGGCCTGCACCTGCGCCTTCTCGACCCTTAGGGTGATAACCTGCTCATTCAGCTCAGACAGCTTCGCCTCTAAATCCCCAATCCGCTCCTCAAACCTTGCCTCCTTGAGCGCCAAAATTTCCGCCTCAGTAGCTCGCTCAGACCTGCAAACACGAAGGACGCTCCCAAGAGCTGCCGCCTCCGCCACAGCGGTCATTCTTGCTTTCTCAGCTCGGCCTTACTCTTGGACCCTGGTGCTCAACTCACCCCTCAAATTGACACGCTCTCTCAATCTCGACCCATAAAGATGCCACCTATGCCTAAAGGTCAATGTTTTCGTCCATCACTCCCTTGCTCATCTCAAGTTCATCCTCCTTAGCCCTTAGCGCACCCTCAAGCACGCTGCACCTGCCGATGGCCGTCATATGCTCCTCGTCCTTCTCCTTCAGCTCCTCATCCTTCTACTTGAGCCCGTCACGAAGCGTCTGAAACCGGCCGTCCTGGCTAAGTAAGTCGACTAGCGTTCGGTGCTTAGAATGGTACTCCCTATACTTGGATACCATCTTCTTGAAGAGGGCCGTCCTACGCTCTTCCCGCCGATCACGCTCAATCTCCATAATGAGGGTCTAACACGCAAAAGAAGACAGGTCAGCGGAAGTATATTACACATACAAAATAAACTAACCTAACATAGGAAAAGCAAACTTACTCGCAAGGCCATGCCAGATATACCCAATGACGGATCAACATCCTTCAACGTCTGCAGCGTCTTGTTCTCGGAATCCGCACACAGAGGAGCGAAGGCCGGCACCGCCCGTTCCGAATTGGTCAAGAGGTCATAATCTACGGGGATGACTATGTGCCGATCAGGCCCTTTCGTCCTTATCTCCATTCGGGTGAACCTCTCCTTAAAATCCCGCACCTCCTCAGGGTTGACATCGGAGCTCGACCCATCATCTTTTACGAGGATGGTTTTATCCCTTCCGCCCGCTGATCATGAGCCGACCGCGGCTACTCGTGCAGGTTCCCCTCTGTCGAAGGTCTCGTCAACCTCTAACGGTCTTTCCTCTGTAACGATAGCCGGTGTGGGAGTAGCCTCAATGCCCAGTAAGGGCGCCGCCTCCGCATCCAAACTAATGGGCCTTTCCAACTCAGTATTAGCAGCACCAACCCTTCCAGTCTCCACCCTTCGCCTTGTCCTCGGTACCGCCTCCCCCTCATCATGAGACGACTCGTCAATTAGGTGCAGGATGCGTTGATCGCAGGTCTAAGACGACGTGACGGGTCCCTGTGGGGCGGAATCACCCAACGGCAGAGCTAGAGTTTGACCCTCTCGTACAGACTCAGCCAATACAAATTGCATTCCAGCCAAAGCGACTGCCTGGCGGAATGCGGGCATCGGAGCCTTCGCCTTCTTGGAAGCTCGCCGACCTGGCACAAAAAGAAAATCATGTTTAACAAAAAATGATGACAAGGCAGTGGTAAGCTATAACGAAATCGAAAGGGTCGTAGAAATGGAAATCAGACTCACTAGTTAAAGGACATCCAGTCGCGAATCCCCACAGTATGAGGTAAGACGCGAGTCACCCATTCTTCGATGTTAGGAACCAAGTGAGGTGGATGCTTACCAGCTGAAAGTAGAAAGACATGAGCAAGTCAGAAACAAAAAGAGGACAAAATATGTGACGAACGGTAAAAGGCCCTTAGGATTGAAGTTCCACTGCTCAGGGAACCCGGCTGGGTCCGCCACTACGTGCTCGATCTTGAAGAAGAAGTAATTGCACCAGAACCGGCGGTTCGCCTTGTCATCCATCCCCATCACCAATCCTTTAGTCCCACGGTGGCGGAGATGAATCAGCGTGCCCCTGTAGAAACTAGGCGAGAAGAGATACAGCAAATGACGAATGGAGACTTCGCAACCGGCCAACTCTGCGAACTTCGCCAGTATCAAAAAGGCTTTATCTAGGTAAGGGGAAAGCTGTGCCGGGAAGACGCCATAAAAGTGACAAAACTCCTCAACGAGTGGGGGAAGAGGAAGAGAGTAACCCACCAAAAACGGGTATTGGTAAAAAGCGGAATACCCAGGTCGGTAAACTTGTATTGAGTCGTTCCCCGCCGGAACAATATCGACGTGAACAGGAATACGGAATTTAGACCGCAGGTCAGATATTTGCTTCGACCTCATGACTGATAGTACCTGCTCAGGAGTAGGGGCAGGTTCTTTCTGAAAGTCATTTCTGACCGACGGGTTCTGAGGAACTATCTCCTTCGCGGTGGGAAAACTTTCGTCTTCCGCAACCGTGGGTTCGCCACTACCGGAAGGCATAATTACCGATAAAGGGGTGGCATCGGAAACTATATCAGAAGTGTGAGGGGAGTTTGTTATTTCTGCAAGAAACGTGTATATAGTAGGACCGGAAAAAGGGTATCAACGGGAAAGGAAACCGTAAGCTAGAGCTGAAAAGCAGAAGTAAATCGGAAGCAAGGGTTAGAGAAGAAGTAGAAGAACAAGCAGAGTGCCAAAGGAGTGTGAAGTTCGAAAAGTCTCATTTTGACTCTCCCTTCCCCTATTTATAAGGTATTATGGCGCTCAGATCGATGCAAGAAACTGTCATTGACACTAAGATCGAAGCAACAGAGGCACTGGAAATAACGCATTGCAACGGGAAGATGCATAATGATGACGCGCGTGGTCATGACGTCATCCTATGTTAGCTGCGCCAACCACAACCTTTGAGCCAACCCGTCATCAACGCGATGTCAACTAATTCAGCTCATTCGCCACGGCGGAATGTCTTGCGATTAGATATAGATAAACTCATCAAGGACTCCCAAGAGGACGACCTCAATAAATGGAGGGACTAACTGTATGGGTCAAAATTAGGTCTAGTTTAGCGAATGCAGACGGACGAGCTGAGGCCGAGGTCCAAACCAAGCACGGTCCAGTGGCGAGGAGTCGCTCAAGGGGAGAGACCAGTGCCGAGGTCGAGTAGAGAGCAAACGGCTGCAACTGTTTGAATATTCCTAGGATTATGAATATGAATATTCTATTGAATATTCCCCCATATTATACTTTTTAGTGTTTTCTAGGGATATCCCTTATAAATAGGAAGAGGGAGGAAATAGAAGGAGATTTGGAACTTTTATGAAAAGACCCTTGTAAAGAGTTGACTATCAAGAATATACAAAAAGCTTGTCTTGTCTCCTTTTTCTTTTATTCCATTTCATAACATTCCTCTTTAGTTCACAAGATCCAAGAACACATAGTTCATTTCCATTGTTTGTTGTCACACGTTGTAGTCAGAGGAAGGAATCATCCATCTCACCCAATATTTGGGTGACAAAATTCCTTCTTATTACGTTTAATGTCATTTATCACATTTATTGCATGTTTTCATCCTCATATTTATTAATAGTCATTGAGCATTAACTCGGCATTTGGTGACTTGAACACGGTCCCATACCGTCCAAGTTGTTTAATTTTGGATCTGAAATTTATTACTTTTAACTTGGATTCACCCCTTGTCTATTTATTAAATTGATTTAACTAAAAGGGCTTAAAACTTTTTGGTCAAACACAACCATCGTTATCGCTATTAATTCAAACGGTAGTTTACGAGTTGGAATTTCAATATTTGAACTTGGAATTCAGTTTGTCATCTTCTGACTAATATAGGATAAGGAACGAACAAAGAACTGATCTAAGAAAATGCGAAGATAAAAGTGCAAAAAATGACTTCGTCCACATGGTACCCTACAAAATGCATATACTATAATCAAATTGGAGAATACTGCAGCTACCTAAGCCATAATTCTATGTTCCTTGACGAGACCATGTGACTACGAATAAACAAACAGACATGCCAACTTTGTACCATAATCAATTCAACACTAATTAAATCAAATTATATACGCGTACGTCTTAGATTAAAAACACCTGTGACCAAATCTTTTGTTAAGAGCACCAAGAACAGAAAAAATAAACGTCAGATATATCAGCGTTTCAGGCACTAATGAATTTACCACTTCCAAAATCCTGCCACGTACTTGCTAAGATTTTTCGAGCAACTAAAAAAAAGATACTTCTGTAAGGACACGTGTCGAGAGATCCCCATATTCTTACGAACGCATACGTTGTCCTAGATTCTATAACACATCAAATCAATCCCCATTTTCATTGTCCACCAATGAGAGCAACCCACGTACCCAAATTTGTTATAGCACATCATGTGACAGTTAATTATCTGCTCCTAGTGCTACACGTGTCCGACCATGTGTTTCTATTTATATAGGCACGAAAAACACAAGTTTTTGAAGGCAAAGAATCCGACTACGTAAATTCTCGTCGGAAGATAAAAATGAGTCAAAGTCCGAGTCAAAGACGGAGGCTAAATCCGCACGGAGCTGGCGAGTCGTTGACTGAGTTAGTCGATGACTCGGCAATTTACAATGAGATAATTCTCCGTGCGGTTTTTGCCTCCATGAATTGGGATATTCATGCTCTGTGTCAAACGGCGTCGGTTAATCGGAAGCTTCGAGCACTCGCGAAAAGGCTATTATGGAAGGAGCTGTGCCTATATCGCGCTCCGCGCATGATAGCATCGTTAATGGACGGTGCGCCGAATGGTCGGATAGGAGTTGGATGGGAGGCTATAGCGAAATTGCTGTTTTTCTGCTGCGGGTGCAATTCGACCCGGCATTTCCAAACGGGTGGGGCGTCTCCGGGTCATTTCGTGGAATCGTCCCGATTTTCGAAGACGTCGGGTCAGAGCTTTTTGGTGAAGAGATGCAGAACGGATCTGCTGTATGTGAGCGATCCCTCATGTGAGCATAAAATTAGGGGTAAGGATGATTATTTGGGGATTTTCAGAGGGGTATTTGGGGGATTTATGAAGTCGAAGACGAGGGCGTGTTTGATTAGTAAACAAGTAGAGCTTGAAGAAGGAGTGAGGTGTCCGTTCTGTGGGGCCCGAGTTTGGAGCATGACAGCGGCTCGGCTCATCCCTAAAAGCGCAGCGCGGCGGCTTGGGACGCTGGAAAATGGGTTGGAGTATTTTGCGTGTGTGAATGGGCATTTACATGGAAGTTGTTGGCTTGTGCCTTTATCGTCTGATGAAGATGACGGCAGAGACGTTGACGATGATGAAAATGACGACGATGAAGATAGCGATCACGACGATGATAACGGCAGAATTGACGGTTTTCATCGGAAGCAGATGGTGAGTAATGGATCTGTGAGTGGTCAAAAGGAATCATAATGGGTTTTGACTGATGCTTGATTAAAGAGGTGGTTGGTGGCATCTGTTTGAAATTTTTGAAGAAGAGTATTCTGAAAATTATTTTTATATTAATTTTTTCCAAGAAAAATACGAAAGGGAGAATTTTATTTTTTTAATTCTTCCTTGGTGTTTGGCTTAAAAACATTAATCTTAACATCTCTTCTTCAATTTTTTTTAAAAACCCACCTTAAATTGGCCGGATGATCCTGCTAAAACTATTAGTGATGCATTTTATTCCGGGTTATGATGGTCCCAGAAGATGACACGTTAATCAAAAACAATTGAAACCGTCACTTTGAAGTGTTTTCCACTTGAAAGAAACTAGGCTCTCTTTCTCAAGCAAGGATTTTCCCCATGAGGAGTGCCAAGAATTGCGGTGCAGCAAAGGTGATAATGATCCGATGAAGCGAATGCCAGCGAACAAATTTGGGCGGCTCGCAGTATTGGTGCCCAGGGCACATGACATTTATGTGCAGTGACAAGAATGCGTATTTATTGTCTGCGCAAAAATGGGGTGTTTGATCCCTGATTGAATGAATGGATTTTCTTTTTCTCTTGGCCTTCGAATGAATGGATGATTATGTTTTTTCCCTTCATCTTTTAGGTATAAGATGAGAGTAATAAATGAGCTATGTTTAATACATTCGTTTGTGCAAATTGGGCTCTTCAAGTACACTAGTAATACTCTAACCAGAAGCATCTACATATGAAACTTATTTATCCTTCTTAATCAAGTTTTAACTTAATTATATGGTCATATACAATTTATCAATTATAGAGCCTGTTTGGATGGGCTTAAAAGCTGGTCATTTTAACTTTTGAAGTGTTTGGCAACTAGAAAAATGGCTTAAAAAAAGCCAAAATTGGCTTAAAAGCCATATTGCTTTGATCAAGGATTTTACATTCTTATCCCTTATAATTTTTTTAATCTCAAAAATTACCCCTCAGTACCAAACTTGAAATTGTTGTTGGCTTCTTCCTCCCAAAATTCCAGCATCTACTTTCTTCATTTTACTCTTTTTCTTTCCATATTTCTCCAGATGGTAACGTTTATTTGCTTTCTATTTTTTGTTTTTTACTAATTTTCTTTGAAATATTAATTATTGTTTTCGTTTGATTTCTTCATACTGAAATTGGGTTAGTTTTCGTTTGCTTTCTACATACTACTTTTAGTTTTTTAAATTAAAAGTGAATTAAAATATTAATTATTATGTATTTATATTATTTAAAATAAAATATTATAGTAATAAGCTTCTTTATAAATTTAACAGCTTTAAGGATATTTCAGTAATTTTAATAGAAAAAATGCTTACTAACACTTGTTTACCAAATACTTCAATAGCTTTTTTCAGCTCCAGCACTTTTATCCAAACACGTAACTGCTTATTTATAAAACCAGCTCCAGCACTTTAAAAAGTGCTTTTAAGCACTTTACTTAAAAGCTACTTTTTTTAAGTCAATCCAAACGGGCTCATATACAAATTAGTTTTAAATGAGTCTCACTTGATTGTTACCTTTTAATTTTGTAACCGATCCCACACCTTCAGCCACTTACCCAATAATCTCTCTTCGACTTTCTCTTAGTTCTTCCTCACTCTGCACTTCTCTGATAATTTCTCTTCGTCTAATCTAGGGTTGTTCATTCGGATCAGATATACGAAATCCGAACCGATCCATTCAATTTTGGATTTCGGATTGGATCGGATTTCGGATCGTGTTTATTAAAATTTCGGATTTCGGATCGAATTCGGATTGGTATATTTTAATCTGATCCGATATAATTCAGATCAGATTCGGATTGCATTTTCTATAATCTGAAATGTGCTAAATCCGATCCAATCCGATCCGTGCACAGCCCTAGTCTAATTGTCTCTCTCTTTTTTCTTCCTCACTATGTACTTCTCTGATAATAATTGCTGGTGGACAGTCCGCCATGCCACCGCCCACCATGATGTACTTGTAATACTCCCTCTGTTCCAATTTATGTGAACCTATTTCCTTTTTAGTCCGTTCCAAAAAGAATGAATCATTTCTAAATTTGGTAACAATTTAGCTTAAACTTACAATTCTACCCTTAATGAGAAGCTTTTATAACCACACAAATACTCTGGGCCCCTTTTTGACTTATTTAGGACCTCAAATTCCAAAAGTCTTCATTTTTTCTTAAACTCCGTGCTCAGTCAAACAGGTTCACATAAATTGAAACGGCGGGAGTAGTATTTAGTTTTTAGATAAACTGATTGACTCTCTATGCTGTTATCTAGAGAAAGTTGGTGAGGACCTATCAAAGCTGTAGGTTGACATGTAGGTTTACTGGATCATGGGGGTTTCTCCTGACCCTTGAGAATAACAATGAGTCATTAAAAAAGTTTCAAAGCCTTAATTTTGAATTCGGATTTTTCAAAAAATATTATTTGTTTGGAGTGGATATTATTGCGAAATGATTGAGAATATTCTATAAAGCTTGTATCTCGATTTTGAGGGTATTTGGTGAATAATAGATTTGATTTGGTTGGATTTTCAGATTGAAATTCGAAGAAGAAGCAGAAGACCACATACAAAAAATATATAAATCATATACAAAATACATCCAAAAGACATATTGTAAAAAAATTGTATGAAAATTGTATTTAATTTATTTGATGTTGTAGTTATATTTAACTGGGTAAGAATGATGTATGAAAGTTGTAGATAAATTGTAAATAAGTTATATACCGTACAATTTTAGTTGCATGAAGTTTATTTTTCAGTATGTATGTTTTTATAAATATATCAAATTTTGTATTAAACTTGTTTGAATTTTTTTTTTTTTTTTTACTTTGTATGCTATTGTACCATACATTATTATTTTTTAAATAGGTAATTATGGCAAAGAGAGAAAAGAGTTGCGCCAATTATGGCTTAAAATAGGTAACACACAACTGGAAGGAGCCTTGTTTAGATGGAAGGACAATTTGGACTTCGTTCCCTTCAGTTACGCCCTTTTCCAAGTAAAGAATTTCCTAATTTAAGGCACTAATAATGGATTGTATATAAATTGTAAGAAAAACTTGTTTAGAGCGAGTAATATACAAAATTTTGGACAATTTTAGTAAATAAGTTTCAAAAATTTTGTAAAGGAAGGAAAAAATTTCTAATAATAATACGGAGATTGTTATAGGGAGAATAAATAATAAATGAATATTATTCGAATGAATATAAAACACAGGCATTGTTGTTTAGGAATTAGGCATTGTTTTCCATTGTTACCTATTCTAAGTAAATAATGAATTGCCCATGCTCTTATCCACATATTGTCAATACACGTAATATTATTTATTCCAATATCTTATTGCATAAAATAGTATATTTATTTTTGTATAACTTACACCCTTATTAGTTATACAAGGTTTGGTTTTCCTGTATTAAAATTCACGTAACTTATGTAGCTTCTAATATCATAAACCACACGTTATATAAAGTTAATTATCCGGAGATTAACTAGTAATGTAGAGTTTTGTACTTCATACCAAAAGCGGAAGTTTAAATGTTGAGGGGTTTATCCTTTTTATCTAACAAAAGGGAAAATAAGAGGGGATCACTCCTCGGACATTTGTTAACCGTTATAGTATAAGATAATAAAGATTTCTATACCATAATTATGTTTGCTTATATTTTATAATGCGTTAGTTGGCGTTTTCTTTTGGTATAATTAATAACTATATAGTTTATATCACAACTTTGACGATATTTATATCGAATCCAACGTGAAACAACTTATAAAGAATTTAGCTTCTAGGAAAGTATTACCTAAAAACACAAAGTAATCCTTCACCTTCTTAACCTTTTTTTTTTACTTTAAAAGCAAGAATAAAATTATAAGCTTTTATATTATATGCCGTATATTTTTCAAATGCAACGAAGTAAACATCCGCAAAAAGAAAAACATATCAATAGTCCAGTTACCATTAATTCATGTGTTAACAATTTTTGCATTACAATTCATCCGCAAACCAAAATGTTTGTCCGTAAAATGGTACAGTTGAATTATAGACACGTGAATTAGTTTGATCCAACAATATGAAATAAATGAGAATGAAATCAAGAATGTAAAAATAACTTAAAGAAAGACAAGCCTGCTGGTATGATAATCTTCTCCGGAAGTAGTAGTATAAACAATATTAAGAACAAAAGACAGCAAGTAATTCTATAATTTGGGGGCAGATGCAGCTTTTGTGCACAGAATGTTCCGTGTCTTACAATGGATGTTAATTCTCCTATTTATAGCTCTATTTAGGAAGACAAGATCCCCAAATCACGCTCCGCTTGAATGAGAATAAAACTGTCATTGATGACCGCATAACTGTTGGTTATAAATGCAGATATTCTCTGTAACGGCTGCTTATTGAATGCTACCCGATGTTAATATTTTGAATCTTTGTCATCGGCTACTCTGTCTTCCAGATTCCTTCAGCACCACTCACATGTTTGCAACCGGTATTGATTATTCACTGATTCACATCCTACCTGCCTTCAGCTCCACATGTCACCTCTTCATTCGTCCAACTCTCACTAACCAATTTTACTGTATACATATAGTCCCCTCACTTATTGGTGACAGTACTTTAGTGTTGATTAGAAGTAGAGAAAACCTCTTTCCTTAGCTGGCAAGTTTCTGAACAGTTTCTGACATTTGAAAGGACACATGTCTCTCCGCATTTAATGACCTGAACACCTGTTACCCCACGGTTTGGCAAATATTTTTGCCGGTTTTTAAGGTGCTCACGACCACAATTTTTTCTGCCTATAACTTCTCAATTACTCATAATTTTTACACTTTACCTTTAAAACTCCATCTTATTCTTCTATTTACCTTAGAACACTACCTGCAAAACTCAATTCTCACAGTAAAATTTTTCTTCATAAATTTCTTACTATCATGTCTTCTAACACTGTTGTCCTCGAAAACTCTGGTCTTTTCTTCGTGGAGGACCCAAAAAAAAACAAATGAGACTGATGTCGATTCGGGACCTCCTACCGTAAACACCATCATACGTCTTCATCCTAAAAGTGACAGACAATGGCTTGTTCGTAGGTATCCTTCTTCCATTCGTCCTCCTAGTATCACTGTCGTGAATAAGGATTGCAATTGGAACAACACTGAATCCTCTCCCCTAATGAGGTAGAAAGAGTCACCTTCTCCAAATAAGGGTTCATGTATGTTTATACATACCCTTTACTTTAGGAGTGAGTGAAGGAATTAACCCAATAATCTTAGAATTTTGCCACCAATACCAAGTCTGTTTGGCACAAGTAGTCCCATCCGTATTGCGTATGGTGGCTTGCCTCCACCAATTATGCTCTAAGAATGGGAAACTCTAACTCTTGCACACATGATGAACCACTACTCCCCAAAGATCTTCCATGGGGGTGTGTTAAAACTTAGCAAACATGGTATCATGCCCTCCTTACCAGCATTAACGATGACATCTTCCGCGGATGGATGGAACTGTTCGTTATCATTGCTACTAGTGACATCCTTCTGACCGCAACACTTGCTTTTCCTGAATCATGGAATCTTCTTCGTAAATCTTCAGATTCCTCTTTCTTTCCACGTTTTGTAAGACCTTCCTTTTTACTAACTTTATATTTACCTTTTTTCCAGCGACTCATTGAAAATCACCACGGGTTCAG